AAAATCAACCTCTGGGGCTGTGGTAAGGGGCCGTCTCAGGGCCCAGCAGCCAGGGAGGAATCAGCAACAGGGGATGACCATCATGGCTGTGATGCACACGATTGGCCATCACTTCCTAACCGCACTGGTCTGCACTGCAGACTTGTACATCTGTCCCACCCTTACCCCCACCCCAACGGTCCCGTCCTCAAGGGGACCTCTGCTATTTTGTCCCCTTCATGCCTCTGTCTCCACCCTTGCCCGGCCCACACTGAAGCCCAGCCGCTGTCAGGTGAGGGAATAGTCTGCTTCCTCGGGACAGGGACACAGGCTGAAGACGCACCTGATCGCTGCGGCGGACTCCATAGCGCAGCTCGTTGACAAAGTGCTCACAGTTCTCGCTGGTCAGCTTGTAGAGCACCTCCTGCCCCACCAGCTCCTCCGCCCGCTGGATGATCTTGCTGGGAGGCAGCGGTGAGTACTCGTCATCATGTTTGTTATTGACGTGGTACTTGTCTCTCCCGGCTACATCATACAGCAGCTCCTTCTTCACTATGGCCTTGTCAGTCAGGGCAGACATGATGCTGGCTGCACCAGCTCCCGCGATTTCACCTGTGGATTCACACAGAGGAAACAGAGGGATTGGTCCTGGGCCAATCCCCAGGGGCTCAGAGCGGGCCCCCAGCCGGGCATCTACCCTTGGCACCACCCACAAAGGGATAAGCAGATGTGGAAGGGAAAAGGGGGGAGGGCTAGACATGTGCTGTAGGGCTTGGGAGAAGTTGCTTGAGGTCTCTGGGCCTGGTTTCCTTATCTAAAATGAGGAGTAGTGAAGTTTCACGATTAACCGTGATTTTTTTTTTAACATAGAAAAGCTGGCCTTCTATACGCTGTGACATCTCAGTAGCCCTCTTGATTATGTAAATATGGGCTCTGAGCACACCCATCTCCCTGGGGGAATAGAGTGAACCTTCTGTGATTCCATCATGGCTACACTTCCTTGACATACACAAAGCTGACCGGTGCAGAAAAGGTGGATGGATTTGCAGAAGTAGTTTTCACCCTTCTGAGAGCAAAGGATCAAAACCCCACAACTGCTCCCCTAAATGTGATGCCAGGGAGGCCCAGTGGGTACACTGGCACAGCCCCGGCTATGGCTGGGAGGCTAGAAGGGGCAACATAGCTCCAGTAATGAAAGTGCCTCAAAGAAAGGAAGTCTAGGGTCAATAGGAGAACCAGGATGGTGTGGCAGGAAAGCTGACACCAGCGCAGAGCCTGGGCACCCCTCCCAAGGCAGCCAACCTGCACATTGCAGGGAGGGTACTCTTTGGGTAACAATGGCTGAAAAAGTGGGGGTGAACCCAGAGAGGAGGCTCCCTCTCCTTCCAAGAGCCACTGTGGCCCTGCTGAGATCAGGACACACCCCCCCCCCAGGCTCTCCCCACCAGGGGAGGTCCCCTGCTACACTGGGCAGGACATCTTCCACTGTGACACCATGTGACAGCAGCAAGCGATGGCAGGCAGGGCTGATTAGATCCCAGGTCCTTTTCTGCTTGGTTTTCCAAAAAGGACTAAACCCCTTTGCTCTGAATACGATCCTGAGATTTTAGAAAATCAGGGGACTTCCGACTTGCTACCAAGAGGTGCTTGAGGAATTCACTGGAGTAAATAAAAGATAGTGCCGTGTGCAAGCCCAGAGTTTGTGAAGAGGGTCAGCATGGGAATTGGTCCAGGTGAGCTTCAGCCGCTAGGCAGGCTGGGCGGCAGGGCTGGGACTGGGGTGAGGCAAGTAAGATGCCTAAAGCACAAAATCTCATGAGGTATTAACTCTGAGGGCCAGGCAAGCAAGCGCAGAGTCAATCCCTAAGAGTGAGGGCCTCCTTAAACTCTGCACGCTGGCTGCCACCTGGTAGCTGGTACAATAGTGCATGGGCTGACGGTCACAAGTTCTGGATTCAGATTCTGGCTCTCTCACTGGTGGTCTTGACGTGTCACTTAGACCTGCTGAGCCAACACTGTGGGAGTCCCCAATTACATATTAAAATTGATAAATGAACACACATCAGTATAGTAATTTAGAGTTCCTTTGAAGACAATTATTTCAGTTCTTAAAGTTAGTCTATTAAAAAAATACTAATTAAACAATTGTATAAGGGGTACATGGATATGGCAAACAACTGATGATTGAATTTTGGGGAACATCAGACTGTGCAGTATAGCATCATAGTTAAAGGCACAGAACCAAGAGTCAGACAGCCAGGGTTCAAGTCCCACCTTCACCACTTACCTGCTATGTGACCTCGAGCAATTTGATTAACTTCCCTGAGTCCCAGATTCCTTGTAGAATAGGGACAATAACAGTCCCTACCTGTCCCTACGTACTGCATAGGAGCTGGCTGTGTAAGGTGCCTTCTCCAGTGCCTGGCACAAGGTGAGTGCCCAGCAAGTGTTAACTGTCGTTATTATTGGGGTTGTTCTCTAAGCTTCCTTCCAACCCTAATTTCTACCATTTTCTCAGTAGCATGAGGTCAGTCCTGACCTACTTTGCATGATTCCTGTGAAGCTTGAATGAGAAGATACATGTAGAAGCATCTTTTCCCTTTTAGGAGCATCACTCACCCAATGGTCAGTGGCACACCTGTCCACCCAGATCCCTGCCATGTCTTTCCCTGCCTCCCATCCACCAGTTTCACCCACTCAGTGCAGTCAGTAGTCAATATTGAGGCCCTACTATGTGCCAGGCCTTGTCCAAGGTACTGAACTAGATAGCACACCTGCCCTCTAATACCTCACATTCTAGTAAGAGGACACTGACAATGAACACACAGACAAAATAAGGTACTTTCAGGTACTGCAAATGCTATGGATTAGGTTAAGCGAAGTAATCTAGGAGGGGATGACTAGGGGGCGCTGCTCTACCTCGGACTGGGGAGGGCCACCCAGGAAGGAACATTTGGGTTGAGACTTGAAGGATGAAGAGGAGGCAGCTATGCTGGGATTCAGGGGAGAGCACTACAAGCAGAAGGAAGGGCAAGAATAAAGACTTCGAGAAGGAAGGAGCGTGGCATGCCCCAGAAGATGCAAAGAGGCCAGTGTGGCTGAAGCCTAGAGACCCAAGAGGAGAGAAGAGGAAGATGAGGACCAGAGAGGCAGGCAGAGGCCAGACCATGCCAGGCGCCACAGGCCACAGTACAGACTTTAAATCCTATTCTATGTGTGATGGAAATGCCAACTAAGAATCTTAAGGAAAAGAGTGACATGTTCAGGTGGCTGCCCAGTGAAGGAGGGACTGACAGTAAGCAGGCAAGAGGCAGAGACCAACTGGAAGCTGCAGTGGCCTCAGGTGAGAGAAGATGGTAGAAGTGACCAGATCTGGGGTCTGCTGTGGGGATAAAGCCAACAGGATTTCCTGATGGGGTGAAAAGGATCAAGGATGACTCCTAGATTTGAGGCCTGAGAAGCTGGATGGTGTCATCCCCTGGAGCCTTCCATTAGAGGCAGGACATAGGGTTGTACGAGAGGTTGTATAAGTCTGAGGCTGGGCAGGGAGCCCTAAGCTGGGGGTGTAGGTTTAGGATATATGAACAAATAAAAAGTCCTGGAAACCAGACAACCTGCTGAGGTCACCTGGAGAGAGTAAGGATTAAGGATATGGGAGAGGACAAGGAACCCACCCTGGAGACCAAGAAGGAAGGACTCAGTGGGAGAAGAAGAAAGGTATGTGCCAGGTCAAGGGCAGAAAGAGGTCAAGTAAGCTGTGACCAGAACATTGACCTTCGGCTTTATCAAGCTGTGGGAGGTCTTTTGGTAGCCTTGATTAGAGCTGCTCCAGGAGGGGAGTGAAAAAGAGGGCCTGGCAAAGGGAACGGAAGAGAAAATGGGAGGCGATCACCATGGTAGACAAGAAATTTGCTCTACAGGGAGTCAAAGAGAGGGGATATGAAGTCAAGTCTGTTTTATCAACAGGAGATCTTACAGTGGTTTCTGTGCCAATGGAACAGCCTAGGAGAAAGGGAGACAATGACAATACAAATGGAGGTGGAAATTTGAGGAGCAAGGTGCTTATGAAAGGAAGAGGAGCGGCCCAGGACCCACACACAGGGGCTGGCTTTTTTTTTTTTTTTTAGCTGAGCCATCCTGCCACCATGTTGGCAGCTCAGTGACAGCTCAGCTTGGGCCGGGAATCAAACCGCTGTTGCTCAGAGCTAACACTCTTGAGTGAACTCTTAACCAACTGAGCCACTCGGCCGGCCAGGGGCTGGCTTTTTAAATGAAGGCAGGGGAACTGTTTGCATTTTAGTAGAAGAAAAGGCAGATTCTGTGGGTGCAGATATTGGTGGTTTGGTTAATCAGGGGTGGGAAAGATGACACCCATTCTGGGTACTTCTGATTTCTTTATATGTATGAGGTGAGGCATGAGTTAAAAGCAAAAGGGCAGACAAAGCACATGTCCGAGAATGTCTCCAGCAGACCCACTCAGAGCAGCCCCAAACTGGAACCAATCCATGTCCATCAGCAGAACAGATAACAGATTGAGGTATATTCACATAACAGTAAACACAGAGCAATGAAAATGTAAGAACTACTGCTGCTCACACACAGTGACTCTCCCAGGCCTAATGAAAGAAGCCAGACACAAAAGAGCACAGATTATACGATTCCTCTTCTGTGAAGTTCTAGAACAAATAAAACCAATCCATGGCAAGAGAAGCCAGAATGGTGGCTGCCTCTGGGGAAGGTGAGGGGATATGGAGAGGCGTTCAGGAGTAGAAATATTCTAGATCTTTACCTGGGTCATTGTCACATGGATGGAAACATTTTTTTAAAATTCACTGACTATATACCTTACTATATATTCATGCATTTTGCTATATTTATGTTATACCTCAGTTTAAGTAAAAAGATTAAGTAACAGGGTGGGGAAGTCTCACAACAACTCTCCAAGTTCAGCATTCTTAGCCTCAGTTTACAGATAAGGAAACCAAGGCTGGAGAGTAGAAACTGGGTTCATGGCCAAGTCTGATGCCCAAACACCCATGCTCTCTCAGGGAGTTTTGCACTTAGGAGTTGGACGTGTTTTCTATAAAGTCATTGTAAAAGCAGAACGGCCCCCTTGGGATCCCACTTCAGCCCCTCTACAGAAGCCCTAGGGTTCCAAGGAGCAGAATTTGAAAGCCGTTGCCCCACAGCAAACTGCTTCTTGTAGCACTCAGGAACCAACCGCCAGTGAGTGAGCGAGGAGAACGTTGGGTCACCTTTGCCCACAGCTTCCCCATCTCCCGCTCCTCCCAGCCCCAGCACAGTGGAGGCCCTGGGCACCCTTACTTGGGGGGGCCAGGTGGATCACATATCCATCGCCAACGTAGATGGCCCAATGTCTGTAGCAGGGGCGGAAAATCTCAATCAGGTCTCCAGGCTTGGGCTCCGGCTGCAAAACCAAGAACAGGGCTGTTAGAGGCAGCACAAGTGAGACCTTGGCAAAGGCTGGGGTCCCTGCCAGAGGCTGTCAAATCAGGGGGGTGTCCCATGGATACTCCTTAACCAGGCCTAGAGCCTGACCAAGACTCAGTATCGTCTCTGGCAGTGACATCCTGGCTGCTTATCCTAATGATAAGCGTGCGTGTGTGTGTTTGTGTGAGTGTGAGAGTGAGTGTATAAAGGAAAACTCTCCTCTATACTGCATTCACACCAGATGTGTGGGCTTTCACACCAAGCAATTCAACCCTCAGTGCACACAGACTGAGTGGCCTACAATTTACCTCAATTCTGACACTACCCACCCAGAGTTAACGCAGGCCCCATAGGTTAAAGGCTCAGTCTCACAAGACTGCCTCATAAGTCAGCTGCCAATCACAGGTCCATGTTGTCACCTGTGCTTTTGACAAACCAGCTATAAATCGGGGGTTCCCACAACCCCCTCCTCAGGTTCAATAATTTCCTAGAGTGTCTCCCAGAACTCTTACAAGATTACCAGTTTACTGTAAAGGATACAACACAGGAACAGCTAGGCAAAGCGATGCAGGACAAGGTATGTGGGAAGGGGCACAGAGCTCCCTGCCACACCAAGTGCGCCACTGTCCCAGCCACTCTTCCAGCACCACCCCGTGTTCACCATTCCCTCAGATTAGGGTTTTTGTGGAGGCTACATTATATAGGCATGATTGATTGAATCACAGGCCATTAATGTTTAGCTCAACCTCCAGCTCACTAATCACACAGTTGGTTGGTTGGTTGGTTGGTTGGTTGGTTGGTTGGTTGGTTGATTGGTTGGTTGGTTGGTTCCTCTGGCCCTAAGCCCTCATCACCTCATTAGCATAAACCCAGGTATAGTTGAAACGGGCTCATCATGAATTAAAAAAAAACTCTTCTCACCCAATCACTGAGGAAATTACTCTGTACCAGGAACTAGGAACAAAGACCAAATACATACTCAGAGCCCTGCCCTGTTAGGAGAGCATGGGGCAGAGGTTGAGAAAAGTTCAGAGCGGTTCAAGATCACTTTCATTCAACATTAACGAGGTGCCAATACCAGACAGTGTGCTAAGTGTTGTGGGTAAGGGGCATCATTTGGACCAGAATCAGAGGTGAGAGCCTCCCTGGTCCAAGTCAGCCTTTAATCTCTTTAATGAGTGAGGAAACCATCCCTTTAGAATACCTAGAGACAGAGCCCCTGTGTCCTTCGCTGGAGTCTTCAAGAGCAATTACAGCCTCATGCCCTTCAGTGCACAGGGGTCTGCCCACATCCCACCCCCAAGCTCTGTGGGCCTGACTGAGAGATTCCATCAAAGATCAGGAGGGAAGAAGGACTTGCCCTTGTATGAATTCCCTTGGGATAAAAACGATGGGCAGTGGGAACAGCCGATCACAACTCTATGCCTATGAAGCAAGGTCAATGACAGTTCATTTCTATTTATAGGAACATTACAACTGCAAAGAAGCATCATATATGGCAGGAAAATAATCTTTTCATGGGAATTTTACAGATAATGTTCTCTTATGCAGTAATTACAATTTATCTTCCAAAAAGTAGGCACCCAGACCCTACTGAATGAGAACATATTTTGGAACAATGGACAATAGTTGCAGTTTATGAACCTCACTTGTTTTCCAGAATAAAAAGAAAAAAAAGTATATTGTTTGATGAGAGTTAAGGGGTCTTCAAGGATCCTCAAAGAGGAATTTATCTGGGCATCTTCATGAATAAGCAAGGACATAAGGACAAGGAGCCAGCCCCCAGGGAGGCCACTGACTGGAAAAGGAGACAGTTTGAACATCAGTGATACAGTGTTAAATAATAAGCAGCCGTGGGTACAGACTCGAGGAGCTCACCGTGTCCCAGACAAATGTCAATGAACGGAGGCCTACACACAGAAAACAATCTTATTCACAATGACCACAATATCTACAAAGAAACTCAGCCTTTGTAACATTAAACAACAAATGCATAATGCTAAGAAGCCATCCCCCAAAGGCAACGCATGACTCCTCTTATGTGGCATTCCAGAACAGGCATCACTATAGGACAGAAAAGTGATCCATGACTGCCCGAGGCTCAGAGTAAGGAGAGGGGTTGACAACAAAAGAGTATGAGGGGTTTTGGGGGCAATTAAACTTTCTGTACTGTTTTATACCTTGATGGTGGTGATGTGTTTATCAAAACTCATAGAACTGAACATTAAAAGGAGGTAGACCTTAATTTTTTTTAAATACTAATTTTTAAAAATAAATAAAAATTTAAAATATTTTTTAAATGGATAGCTACAGTTTGAAAGAAAAAATATGTTTTGTTTTGGTTTTTTTTTTTACAATACTCAAATTGCCTGTCCCCTTGTAAGGGCAAGAAAACACATATTTCCAAATATGCAAAAGCTCTTGATATGATTCAAGAAAATTTCTTTTTAAAAATGAGGTAAAAGGTGGTGGGCCCACCCACGGAGCCCTATGCACTAGTTAGAAGCAAGGATCTGATGTTCACAGGGCAATGAGGATAATCTTTTAGATCCAGCGCTGAGTGGGGAAATGAGACCAGCTCGGCAATACAATACCACTTACATAAATTAAAGATACCCACACACAAACCAATAATACACGCCTTATGAGAACCATACCCCAAAAAATAAATTTTATAAAAGCAACACAACACAAAAGCAATCACACAAACTAAAGAACATACATTACACACACTAAAATACTGGCCACTGGAAGATGGAGTAAGAAATGATGATAAAAGGAAATAAACAAAAAAGAAACCTGTAAGAAAGGAAGTAGGGATTCGTGCAGGGACCAGTGAGGACAGGGTGCCATGAACTAAGAATATAAATAATTCACTCTCCAGCACTAAAATCCAACTAGAGAACAATCACTTAATGATATATACAAACCAACTCAGCTGAGTCAAAATTAAGAACTCAAGAAATCATGTTATAAAATTAGAAGAGAGAGTACTACAATCCATGGGTCAAATTTGTGCCTCTGCTTATTTTTGTATGCAAGCTAAGAATGATTTTTACATTTTTTTAATGGTTGGGGGGAAAGTCAAAAAAAGAATCATATTTTGTGACACATGAAATTATGAAATTTGGAACTTCAATGTCTGTCACGTTTTATTGGCACACAGCCACACCCATGCATTTACATATTGTCTGTGGTCACTTTGTCTCTAAAACAGTAGAGGTTGAATAGTTGTAACAGAAATCATATGGCCTGAAAAACTGAAAATCGTCACGATCTGGCCCTGTACAGAAAAAGTTTGCCGCCTGCTGCTGTAAAAGGATCAGCAGTGATGCCTCCCTCACTCAGTTTGATCCTCAATGGCGGGAATCTGGTGGTATCATGTTGCCAGGTGGTGATCCCCCATGAGCAAGGGGGACTGGCAGGAGGGGCCAGGAAGAGAGCTGTCTCTCTCCAGGGCAGGGCTGGGGGCTCCCCAGCCAGCGCAGTAACCATGGTCCTCCTACACCACACAGGCGATTAACAGTGGCAAAGCTGAGACTGCACCACCCAGGATTTCACAACAAAAAGTCTTTATCCTTCCAACAAAAAAAGAGTTACAAAGAGCTTTGTAAGAGCCATTTTCCTTAGCAAGCAAATTAAGGGACAATTTCCAGCCACTGAAATTCGTGTTGGAAAAACAACCTAAACAATCATTAAATAAATATCCTACATCCATATGTAGATACAGCCAACAGAGAGAACAAGGTGGATTTATGTGAGCAGATGTGAAAATAACTGAAAAAATTAACTTGGAAAACATTGTTATCCCCATTTTTGCTTAAAATGCATTTTTATACATTTGTAAGCGAAATGTGTTATACACTATGTATGATATGAGGAAAATACACCAAACTGTTATATATTATATACCGTTGGGGGTTGGGATTCAGGGACTTTCACATTGTATGTTATATGATTTAATTTTTTTTTACCAAAATGAATTACTTCCATAATAAAAAATTTTTAAGATTTTTAGATGGGGAAAAAAATCCTTCATGTTGATGAACTTGCAGGTTTTTAATTGGAAAAGGTAGCTATTATCTGTCACTAAAACCTCTTGAAACCATCTCCCATCTGTAACCTGTAAATATGACCATGTTAATGATGCTTAGAAATCAGTAATTCTTACATGGAACATATAAAGCCACAAAACAAATTTTAAAATAATACAGATGGATATGTATCTGATCTTGGAATAAGGAAAGGCCCTCGAAGGATAAAGGCCAAAGAAACAAGGCACAAAGTAAAAGATTAAAAGGTTTTACAATTTAAAATATGTTAAAGTTCTTCTTATTAAAAGTTTTTATCATTGCGTGTTATGTTCATATTCCCTTTTAAGGGAAAATGATCCCCCACAATCCCGGCGACCCAGGCAGCCGTATTTCATTTTTTTTTTTTAAGATTTTTATTGGGGAATTGGGGGGATGGGAACAGTGCTGGGGAATTGGGGAAAGGGGAACAGACAAGTTGCTGTCGTTTTGTTCTTCAATCTAGTTGTGGAGGACGTTGCTTCACTGGCCCAAGTTGGCACCATCATTGCGCTCTTCTCTGGCGAGGCAGATCAGTCGCCGGCTTCTGGACAGCCGCTCACTGCGGCTGCTGGCCGCTCACGCTGGCTGTTGGCTACACACGGTAGCCCATGGCAACCCACTGCCACAGGGACTGCAGCCCACGCCGTCGCCGGCGACTCATAGGCAGCCCAGCTCCAGGTTGAGCTGTTGTTCAGCATCTTAGCTGTGGAGGGCAGTGTTACTGGCCCTCATATGTGGGATCCGAACCGGGGCCCTCTGGCGTCCCAAGCCAGTTCTTAACCATCGCGCCACTCGGCCGGCCCCAGGCAGCCGTATTTCAGACCATGTGATCATTACATCCCAACCTCAGACAATTAATTGGACTGAAAGAAGGTGTTGGCCCCACACAGGTCAGCATCCTGTG